AAGATTGGGAATTGAAAGAGCATCAACATATAAGGAGAAAGCTTGGAGCGGTGTTTGAAAATCGACTGATTGGGATGGAATATGATTAATGAGATTTGGGGGAAAAGCTCTCACCTCAGCTGCGTATCTCATTAATTGTGTTCCATCCAAATCAATCGATTTTCAAACAGTTCTCCAAGCTCTCTCCTCATATGTTGATGCTCTTGAATAGTTCCTTATGATAGAGGCACCACAAGATTGGAAACTGTGGAACAAGGGTTGCTCCTTATATGAGGATACTCTTGCAGTGCCTCTTTCAAACACCGTTCCAGGCTCTCTCCTCATATGTGGATGCTCTTGCATATCTATGAGGAGGAGCATATCCATAAACTAGTTCAAAAGGAGTTAACTTAGAGGAGTGATAAGATGAGTTATAGCACCATTCAGCCCAAAGCAGCCACAAAGTCCATTTCTTAGGTTGAGAACTCACAAAACATCGAAGATAAATTTCAACCCACCTGTTGACCACTTTTGTCGGGCCATCACTTTGGGGGTGGTACCTTGAGCTCATGCACAGTTTTGAACCTTGAAGTTTAAAGAACTCCTTCCAAAAAGCATGCACGGTTTTGAACCTTGAAGTTTGAAGAACTTCTTCCAAAAAGCACTTGGAAACACAGGGTCTCTGTCACTAATAATTATAACTGGCATGCCCTGGAGTTTGAATATGTTAGCAATAAAAGAGTGTGCCACTGTAGTTGCTGTATATAGGTGTGCCAACGCAATAAAATGGGCATACTTACTCAACCTGTCAACCACAACCATGATTACAGATTTACCCTTGCTGAGAGGAAGGCCAACAATGAAATCCATGCTAATGTCAGTCCACACCTTCTCTAGAATGGGCAAAGGTTGCAATAACCCATGTGGGGAAATGGTTTCATACTTATTTTGCTAACAAGTATGACATTTATAGACATAGGTCTTGATATCACCCTTCATACGAGACCAGTAGAAACCCCTCTTTAGCCGTTGATAAGTCTTAAGCACGCCTTGATGTCTAGCAGCTAAAGTAGAGTGATGCTCCTCAAATAATTTCAATCTCCAATAGGACTGAAGGCTAATTACAATTTTAGACTTATACTTTAACAAGCCATTATCAAGATGGTAATGAACAAGTTTAGAAGTAGAAGTTGTAGAATTGGCAGGTGCTAGTAATTCTTGTTTCTTTTGTAGTATCCAATCATCCTTTTTATTGAACCTTCTCGGCTCATCGAGCCAACCAAAGTTGTGGATTGTCAACCATCCTGGATAGAGCATCAGCCGCCAAATTCTCAGATCCTCTTTTGTATTGAATCTCATAGTCGAAACCAAGAAGTTTTGACACCCATTTCTGCTGAAATTGAGTTTTTGCCCTCTGGCCAAGGAAATACTTCAAACTATTATGTTCTCTCTTAATAACAAAGTGTTTACCCTGAAGGCAATGATACCATTTCCTAAATGCATGCATAATAGCTATGAGTTCCTTTTCATAAGTGGATAGGGACTGGTTTCTGGGACCCAGAGCCTTACTAGAAAATGCAATAGGCCTTCCCTGCTATTGTAGCACTGCACCTATACCAAAATCTAAAGCATCACATTCAAGCTCAAAGGGTAAGGCAAGGACCTGAGGTGATGCCATGATAGACTTGAGTCTATGGAATGCTATGGTTGCTGCATTATCCTAGAGAAATTCATCTTTTTTGGTGAGTAGGTAAAGTGGCTGGCAGATTTTCCCATAGACTGGTACAAATTTGCGATAGTAACCTGTAAGCTCCAAGAACCCCCTTAATTCTTTAATAGTTTTGGGAATGGGCCAAGCAATAATATCTTGAATCTTGGAAGGATTTGCGTCAACATCATGACTAGACACAATATGCGCTAAGTACTCAATCTTGCTTTGGCCAAAAGCACACTTAGATTTTTTTACTTAGATTTTTTTAACAAAGAGCTAGGGTTGCCTCAAAAGCTCAAAAGTGAGGTGTAGGTGCTCTAAGTGGTCCTCCCAACTCTTGTTGTACGCGAGAATGCCATCAAAGAAGATGAAGACCAAAACCCTAAGATATGGCTTAAATATATCATTCATTAGGTTTTGGAAAGTAGTAGGTGCATTGGTGAGGCCAAATGGCATGACTAAAAACTCATAATGGCCTTCATGAGTTCGAAATGTTGTTTTCCCCACATTTGTAGGTTGCATCAGAATCTAGTGATAGCCAGACCTCAAATCCAATTTAGAAAAATATAGTGCCTTATAAAGTTCATCCAGTAAATCACCAATAAGCGGAATAGGATATTTGTCCGTAATAGTTAGGGAACTAAGCTCCCTATAATCCCTACATAGCCTCCAGGTGCCTTCCTTCTTCTTAACCAAGAGCACATGACAGGAAAAAGGACTGTGACTAGGCTGGACGAAACCTGAATCCAAGAGTTTCTTCACAACCTTTTCAATCTCAGTCCATTGAAGTGGACCATAGTGATATGGCCTGATATTAGGAACATGGGTACCAAGAATCAAGGGTATGTGATGATCATGGTCCCTATGTGGGGTCAGAGTTGAAGGAAGCACAAATATCTCTTCAAATTTGCCCAAGAGAGATTGCAACTCAATGAGCTGTGCAGGAGTAAGATTGGAAGCTTCCAGTTTCTGAGTTTCCATGGAGTATAACTACAAACCCAAACTGGAACTTAAGATTTCTCTATGCAAGTGCTGCAGGGAGATCTCTTGGATAAGAGGAGTAGGAATGGGACAATGGACCAGCTTTTAATGAACATTGGCCATGTCAAACTCCTCTTATGGTTGCAGTGCTATAAAAGGTACACTCACTGAGCTCCATAGTGAAGCATTCATGAGCAAGTTCCTCACCTACAATTTCCTTGGGATCATCAGGGTAAACCAAATCTAACATAAGAAGTTGTTTATGAGCACACTTATGGCCACAAGCCCATTTTTCATCACAATAAGATACAAAAGCTATGAAAACAACTGATGCTCAAATCCAACATGCAGGAGAGATTGAATACTCAAAAGTTATTTATGCGTATCATATGCCAACAATCAAGTTTTTTTATAAGCAGATCCACTACAAAATATTTGTAATCAATCAATTTCAACTTTGAGCGACAACTTCCAAGTTGACACACTCCAAGATGACTATAGCACAACTAAAGGCTCTAGTTTGCATAAGCAAGCAAAGATGTAGGACAGACTAATGGTATAATGTGCATCCGACATATTATATAGCACCCCACTTACATGACTTGAAGGGATTTACTTCTCACTTAGCAAATCTAGAGCAACACTGCCAAAGCTATAATCAACACCTTTTGGAGTGACTCTTCCCACAGTGTAAATAAACAACCAGTAAAGTCAGCATATCTCAAGCAGAAAAAGTTCTTTATGTATAGTAACATCAAAAATGATCAAACGGATGAGTAGTATTTATACTAGAAAAGTTATTACCATCTTAAATATTCAGGCCGAAACATGAAAGGCGAGGGTCACCATCCTACAAGTCCATCACCCTAAAAAATGGTAATGGACACGGACATGACTGAAATTACAAAAAATTTCAACTAAGATGATCAAATTTGAAAAAGGAATACCTCGTCAAAGAGAACCCTATAAGCATTCAAATCATGGTATAACGGACAACCCTTAGTACTACAATAATCTAAAACTTTAGCTACATAAATAGCCACTCTTAAACGCGTGGTCCACTCAACGGTTTGATTCTCCTTTTATGAAAAAGCAATGACCAAAAATTAATCCTCAACAAATACAGCCACTAATTCTCAATTTGGAGGAACAAAACTTGAACATGATAATTGATTGCTTATGCAAATCTTGAGAAATTAGCAGTATGAAGACAAGCATAGTACATACACACTAGATAGAAGACCACACTATAAAGTAAACACCACACCGCCGCCATGACTTCTCCAAATGAAGGGCAATGTTAAACATCATCTAGGATAAGCAATACTACCAGGTAAGATTGATTGCCTAACCGTTTCGTGTTAAAGAAAACTAATGTCAACGGCACCTTGCATTTCATTGATTGTTTAAAAACTATATATTTGGAGGTACTTCACAAAAGGTTCATCAAAAAGTCTTAGAAGCTAAGATAAAAAGTAGCATTCTTGATACAACAGCTACAGCCAAAGACGACAAAGCAAAAAAACAAAGGATTTTGTTTGACATACAGTGTAACAAATGCTTAGCTAAAGTATCAGTAGGCATGTACTCGGTAACTAGCAGCCTTTCACCCCCTATCACGACAATACCCAATCAAATTTGGATATCAAGATTATGATATCCTTAAGAGTTTGAAGTACAAAATCATATTGTATTCAGTTAGCTATGCTATAAAATGCATAACAATGATAGGACGTATCCAACTGGAATAAAGAATTACCTGCAACCTAACACCACCGTGTTTCCTCCAAGTCTAATCAGATATTTCTACCTTCCCCATAAGTAAACAGTATATATTTAGTGGATCCCAAATTGTGGAAATAAACTGTTTTGACGGAAGCTTTTCATTAAATCACCAACTTGTATGGTTTGCCCTGCCGGCAGATAACAAGCACATGAATTATAAGTTATTCAAACCTTCCCCCCTACAATTAGTCCATGCTCATGCATCAAAATACACAAAAAAAAAATATTATAGGGACTATTATCATTGAAAAACTTGAAGGTAGAATCTAAATAGATTATTGAACTGATAACTTGTTCTTTCCATACTAACTGGAATTATAAGTTAGTATCATTTGTTCAAATAAACAAAGACATCTACCGAATTTTTGAAATGCCTCTGTCCATATATCAGGATTTTAAAATCAATACAATGACTTCAAATACAAGTTTCTTTATTTTGAGTTCTTCGTAGACACTATAACCAATATCAGGATCTTGACTAAAAATCAATACACTTGTAAGCAAACAACAACTCAGGATAGAATATAAGAGGGAAGAATCTAAATACTGAGCAAAAAACTTCACACCTTGGGCAGCCATTTTTGTCAAAATGTACCACATATCAAGAGAATTCGCCATTCCTCAAAGGTCCCAGAAAAATAACCCAACAACCCACAAGTACAGATAAATCACGAAGAAAACAGTTCATATGAAAATTCAGGAATTTATACAATAATCCATCAGAAATTTCCGTAAAATTTCACCAACACAGACGCCAAAATTCCCAAATAACACTAAATCCAAAACAAACCCACAAAAATTCAATCAACGAAATAAACAAAAGAGGAGCACTTCCAGAAGAAAACCGAAATCCGTTACCTCAGCGGAAAGTTACCAGCATTGACGCCGGTCGTGGCGCCACCTTGGCGCCAATTGATGAGGCGAAGAGCGTCGAACAGTCTGTCAGATCCTCCCCTTGCAGCTCTCTGTGGCTCATCTTCATCACGAACCCAAAGAGCTTGAAGAGTAATTTCGCCACCGCCTTCCCCTCGAACAGCGAGTTGAGCAGCCCGAGGACAACGAAGAGAACAACGGCGCCGGACTTGAACTTGAAGAGCGACAAATCACGACTCGATTCCTTGAGGGTGCGAAACAGTAAGACGCGAGCAAGGAACGCCTGGGAGAAATGAGAGATGATGGAGAACGTGAGAATATTTGAACACAGGCAAACTATTAACACAAGTAGGCGTGCATTAAAAAACAATTCTAAAAATCCATGACTTTCAAAACCTAATGAATGTTGAAACACAAGGCTCTTTAATAACATTAAAGAGAAGAAAGGATTCTGAGATTCATACCCTTGAAGCTCTTCCTTGTTTTCACAAGGTTATCACCCATGTGAGGGCCTTTGTTCCACTTCATTTGCTCCATAGATTTGACTCCTTTGCTTCTTGAAGCCTAGATGAAAAGATTCTCCAAGCACCAAAATGATGGTTCCTCTAAGTCTCCACACCAAGGTAGAGATATGAAGACAAGATGGAAGACTAAAGGGAAGCTTTAGATGCTAGTTAAACTCCCCTATAGGGCCGGCCTTTTTGAGAGAGAAGAGGAGAGAAAGTGCCTCCAAACTGGAGTGGAAGGCAGTGTTTTTCCAGCGCAATTAAGGCATTAATCAGATGATTTATGTGTATTTCCCAATGAGAGGCAATATGGTAATATTGCACTCTCGAAAATTTATTACTTTCTTATCGAGACAACAGTGAGTTGTTTGTATTGCGGGCTGTAGATTGTATTATCAATAGCTTATTCGTTGGGTTCGTTAAGCAAGTGGATAAGTAGACTGTTTACTTTAGTATATTTATTTATTTATTGTTTGGGCTTGTGTAACATCCCACATCGCCCAGGGGAGTGATCCTTATATGTATATTCTCATCTCTACCTAGCACGAGGCCTTTTGGGAGCTCACTGGCTTCGAGTTCCGTAGGAACTCCGAAGTTAAGCGAGAAGGGGGCTAGAGCAATCCCATGATGGGTGACCCACTGGGAAGTTGCTCGTGAGTTCCCAAAAACAAAACCGTGAGGGAATGGTAAGCCCAAAGGGGACAATATCGTGCTACGGTGGTGGAGCGGGCCCGGGAAATGATTTGCCCCGGGCCTGGATGTGACAGTTTGACCCAAAGATACTACACACATATTCTCGGAGTACTTAACGATACGAATGTGTAGGGGAAATTTTTTCTATTTTCAGTTTAATTTCAGTACAATTATTTTAACCTTAGATTATTATATATGTATTTTTGACGTGATGTTATTAAAAAGGCATTATTTTATACTATTGTACTCAAGGAGAAGGAAGTTTGAGTTTAGAGGCATGAAAGAGGAATCATTACAATCCGATCGCGACGGAATGACATTACCTTTTATGCAACCACTCTAACTTGATGTATTCTTTATATATTTTATTCCTATCTTTAAGTATTTTATGTATAGCAAGTTATTTCAAATTTTGGGGATGAATTTGTTTTTTTAATGTGGGTAAATTGTAACAACTCATCCCAAATTTTACGACTTCATTAATTTTAAAAGTGTGAAATGACCAAATGTCACATCCAGGCCCGGGGGGGACTACTTCCCGGGCCCGTTTTACCACCATAGCACGATATTGTCCGCTTTGGGCCCTGACCACGAATTCACGGTTTTGTTTCTGGGAACTCACACGAGAACTTCCCGATGGGTTACCCATCCTGGGAATGCTCTCGCGCGCTACTCGCTTAACTTCGGAGTTTCGATGGAACCCGAAGCCAGTGAGCTCCCAAAAGGCCTCGTGCTAGGTAGGGATGAGAATATACATATAAGGATCACTCCCCTGGACAATGTGGGATGTCACAATCCACCCCCCTTAGGGGCCCGACATCCTCATCTGCACATAACGGCCAAGATTAGGCTCTGATACCAAATTGACACACCCCGACTCGAAAAAGACCATTCCCGGGCCCGCTCCACCACCGTAGCACAATATTGTCCGCTTTGGGCCCCGACCACGCCCTCACGGTTTTGTTTCTGGGAACTCACACGAGAACTTCCCAATGGGTCACCCATCCTAAGAGTGCTCTCGTGCGCTACTCGCTTAACTTCGGAGTTCCTATGGAACCCGAAGCCAGTGAGCTCCCAAAAGGCCTTATGCTAGGTAGAGATGGGAATATACATATAAGGATCACTCCCTTGGGCGATGTGGGATGTCACAATCCACCCGCTTTAGGGGCCCGACGTCTTCGTCGGCACACCACGGCTAGGGTCAGGCTCTGTTACCAAATTGACACACCCCGACCCGAAAATGACCACTTCTCAGGCCCGTTCCACCATCATAGCACGATATTGTCCACTTTGGGCCCCGAACACGCCCTCATGGTTTTGTTTTCGGGAACTCACACGAGAACTTCCCAATGGGTCACCCATCCTGGGAGTGCTCTCGTGCGCTACTTGCTTAACTTCGGAGTTCCCATGGAACCCGAAGCTAGTGAGCTCTCAAAAGGCCTCGTGCTAGGTAGAGATGGGAATATACATATAAGGATCACCCCCCTGGGCGACGTGGGATGTCACACCAAAAATTCCTTGGAATATTCTCTGAAATATTCTATGTTGACTTTTTTGAAATTTACTCGGAAACCCTCCTAGGCTAATTTCGGTGCCTCGAGTCCATTTTTGGCATCCATTTAGTGAAATTTTAAAGTTTTAATGTGGTTGACCGGCTCAACAGCTCAGTTGACCTTTTTGGGGTTGACCGTTGACTTTTTGTTGACTTTTTACTAAAATTTGTCCGAGACTCTTCTTAGGATATTTTGACGCCTTAATTCCAAAATTGCACTCCATTTCCCCAAATTTAATCATTTTAGTTGATTTTTACTAATGCGTCCCAATGTTATGCTTAGGTGCGATTGCTATCGAAGACTTCGACTTTCTTAGTTTGAACAGCTGCTCGTAAGTATCTGTGAGCTGGTCTTTACTTTTAAATATTATATATTTATTTAGTTTCCATATATGCTTAATAAAGAATTTTTTACAATATTAGACCAACGTTTTAAGAATTAGCGAATTGATAGAATTTATGAAATTCTCACGAATTTTATGGGATGCACTTATGCATAGTTTGATGTGATGCATAACTATATTTACGGTCATGAATATTATTATTTTATTGTTGTGAATTTTGAAATTTCCATAGTATGATCATATTTATATTACTGCTCATCATGCATGCTACACTAGTGTTTATACTCACCTAGGTCAAGGCCAGGCTTTATGTATATGCTCACATTGCATCGTACATTCACTTCGAATCCATTGTAGGTGCCAGTTCTGGCCTAGATTGCTATAGGCAATTACAACTCGTATGTGACACCCATAGCGCCAGTTAGACCCGGCAATTTCTAACACGACACGAAAATAATGGGTTTCGGATCAACACGATAACTAATTGGGTCATTATCGGGTGACCCGTTAATAACGGGTTCTTAACGGGTATACACGCGGGTAACACATAGGTAACCCATTTCGACCTGTTAAGAAAAAAATTATTTTGATAATTTTAAAATTTAATTACTAAAAGATTTATTATAAAATACAATAACCATATTAATATATACAATATATTCAATATTAAATATATAGTTTTGTATTATTATTCTGTATAAGTTAAAAAAAAAAGTTTTAGTCATTATTTATTTTATTATGAGAGTTCCTTATTGTCATTGTCACATCCTGGCCCGAGCCCCCACCACATCCCGGGCTCGACTCAACCATAGCACGATATTGTCCGCTTTAGGCCCCAACCACGCCCTCACGGTTTTGTTTTTGGGAACTCACACGAGAAGTTCCCAGTGGGTCACCCATCCTGGGATTGCTCTCGCGCGAACTCGCTTAACTTCGGAGTTCCTACGGAACCCGAAGCCAGTGAGCTCCCAAAAAGTCTCGTGCTAGGTTGAGATGGGAATATACATATAAGGCTTACAGGATCCACTCCCCTGGGCGATGTGTGATGTTACAATCCACCCTCTTTAGGGGCCTGACATCCTCGTCGGCACACTTCCAGCCAGGGATTGGCTATAATACCAAATTTTCACATCCCGGCCTGAGCCCCCACCACATTCCCGGTTCGACTCCGCTGTAGCACGATATTGTCCGCTTTGGGTGCCAACCACACCTTCACAGTTTTGTTTTTGGGAACTCACATGAGAACTTCCCAGTAGGCCACCCATCCTGGGATTGCTCTCGCATGAACTCGTTTAACTTCGGAGTTCCCAAAAGGCCTTGTGCTAGGAAGAGATGGGAATATACATATAAGGTCTATAAGATTCACTCCCCTGGGCGATGTGGGATGTTACAATCAATATTAGGATAAATTTTACTTAACATGTTGTTGTCCAAAATTAAAATAAACTAGTATAGTATTTGTATAGGCAAGAACTAAGAAGACATACATACAAGTATGAAAAATATGAAAGAATATATAAACACTCATGATTCATCATTGTTCCTCCATGAGTATATAATGGTCACACTTACATTATCGTTTAGATTTTTAAAATCCTCCAAACCCTCATGAATAATGTTTTTTATTTGAGGGCAAAATTAATAAAATTCATAATAATTATTGTAGAAGTGTAAAAAATGTAAAAAATATATATACAATCACTCATAGGGACAAGCTTTACAACTTTCATGAAGGGGCCAGCTTCAAAATCCAACACTATAATCCATGCACCTTAAATTTATATTTAACCGTCGATTGTCATTTACGCTTTATTCTTCTTACTGAATTTCTTTTTTAAAATTTTCTTTTTTGGAAAACAAGATCATTTGGCGGATGTAAGAAGATGAATGGTTCAGATCTTTGATATCACGTTTCGATATTTACAGTTAACTGAAATATGAGTCGATGTCATATAATTTGTAGAAACTTTATAAACATCAAGCAATATTATTACTAACCATAAAACTCTGAACATAATATCAATGATCCAACCCATTCATCTTCTTGCATCCTCTAATAGATCATGTTTTCAAAAAAGAAAATCTGAAAAAAAAAAAAAAAAAAATTTGATGAGAAAAATGAAGCGTAAATGTAAACAACAATCAACGGTTAAAATTTGATCTATGAAGCTTTAATGGGTGTTACACGACATGACCCATTAAGATATCGGGTATGATATGAAAACAACACGAACACGAAAAACATGACACAGATGCCAGGTGACACACCCCGACCTCAATCGAGGCATGCTGGTTGTCACGTGAGGGTGACGTAACCATGTGCCTTGTGCGGAAGTGGTAATGATATAAAAATGTGAATAAATAAAAACCACTAGTTATTTTACCTTAGACTAGCATATAAGTACGAGTGAAGGTGTTTAGAGTAAAGATACACACAACCAGAGCATAGGTATCGAAATGCAATCCAAAAGACTAAGTACTAATAATACAGAACATAAAAGAAACCCTACATTGATGGATGTCTGTCAGAACCGCCGAAGATTCCTCGCGAGCCACCAACACTGAAGTCAATTTAGAACCTAGAAGGGCGCAAAACAGAAAATGTGAGTGGGCAAAAACAAAGCTTTTCAAAA